ACATAGCGTTGCTCCTTCCACAACCAAGGCTGAATATATAGCTATCACAAGTTGTTGCACTCAAGTATTGTGGATGAAACAAAAAAAAAAAAAAAAAAAAAGAAGTGAAAATTAAATATATAAAATAAAAAGTTTACGGTTTACCCTATTTTTCATAATAACCTACAAAAAAAAAAGTTAGTAAAGAATTTATAACATGAAAAATAAAAATGAAATAACACAAATATAGTAAATAAATGAAAACTTGAAAAAGAAAATATAAATTAAAAAATTAGATGTAGATAATTAAAGAAAGGAAGAAAGAAGAAGGAAGAGGGAAGATGAGGAGGAGAAAGAAAAGAAGAAGAGAAAAGACAAGGGAAAGAAGGAATAAGGAAGAAAAAGGAGAAGAAGAAGAAGAAAAGAAGAAGAGAATAGATGAAGGGGAGGAAAAAGAGAAAATGAGGAGAGGAAGCCACAAATAAATCCAAGGAAAAGTGCAAAGTTTAAGTATATATAGGCAAAGATTTATATGGACTGTTAACCATCTAAAATACTTATTTCAAAAAATTGGCGCATAATCACATCACCAGTCATATGATGTTGCATGTCAGTTAGCAATATGAGATGTGTAATGGAAGCTGTTAGCTTCTTAGGTCATTAAAAGAGTAAACAGTGTAAGCCTAAACTTGAAAGAACCATAATCACATCACCAGAAATGAGTCTTGTCCTTAAACACAAAGAAGAAGAAGAAAAGATTTTAAAGAGGAGAATGTTATAGAATGGGAGGCACATACTCGGACCACTAATGGTCCCAATAAGTTATTTATATTGTTAGTGGTTTGAATAACATGGTTAGAGATAATTTTCTTAATCCACCCCACAAATTGGGGCTTAATGCCTACTAGTTAACCTTAATTCCAATAACCAAAGCTTTGAATACCCTAGAACCAAAAGGTAAAGTAATTAACCTTAAACCTACATGTTACCCATATACTAATAATATGTTCTTGTGTCCCCGATATGCAATATGAGACGTGCAATCAATGTTGTTAGCCCTTTAGATTGCTTAAGGAGTGAAAGACATAAGCATAAACTTGAGAGAACCATAATCATATTACCATAAATGAGCCTTATCCTTAAATGCAAAGAACAAAAGCTTTTAGAGAGGAGAATGTTCTAGAATGGGAGGTATTTATTTGGACCATTAACAATCCGAATAAGTTATTCAGACCATTAATGGTTTAAATAACATGGCTAGAGATCATTTTCTTAATCTACCTCATAAACTGGGGCTCAATGCCTAGTAGTTACCCTAAATTCCAACAATCGAAGCTTTGAATATTGTAGACCCCAAGGAGAAAGTATTTAACCTTAAACCTATGTGTTACCCATTTACTAATAACATGTTCTTATGTCCCTGATAGGCAATATGAGATGTGTAATCAATGTCATTAGCCTTTTATGTCACTTAAAGAGGGAACAACATAAGCCTAAACTTGAAAGAACCATAATCACATCACTAGAAATGAGTCTTGTCCTTAAATGCAAGGAATAAAAGTTTTTAAAGAGGAGAATGTTCTAGAATGGGAGGCACTTATTTGAACCAGTGATGGTCCTAATAAGCTATATTCATATTGGTATTTGTATGAATAACATGGCTAGAGATCATTTTCTTAACCCACCCCACAAACTAGGGTTCAATGCTTATCAGTTACCTTGAATTCCAACAATCGAAGCTTTGAATACCATAGAACCCAAGGGTGAAGTAATTAACCTTAAACCTACAAGTTACCCATTTACTAATAATATGTTCTTGTGTCCTCGATATTTAATATTAGATATGTAATCAATGCTTTTAGCCTTTTAGGTTGCTTACAAAGTGAACGGTGTAAGTGTAAATTTAAAAGAACCATAATCATCTCTCCAGAAATGAGTGTTGTCTTTAAATGGAAGGAACAAAAGTTTTTAAAGAAGAGAATGTTCTAGAGTGGAAGACACTTATTTGGACCACTAACAATCCCAATTTTTGAACTCTAAGTGATTTTGATGATAACAAAACCCTTTAAGATGTTTAATGAATTTGAGTCTAAGTGTGTAGTTAAAAAAATCCTACAATGCATCAAAGAATTTGGAAAACTGTAAAATTGGGTTGAAGAGTCAAATATAGGACTCTATATTTGACTCTTGAAACAAGAAAATTTGACTTTTGCCTGCAAATTTAACCTTGGAGCAACATATGAAGAAAAGGTGCTTTCTAGTGAAAAGTCAAATCTAAGAAGCTATATTCGACTCTTGAGGCTTTCAAATTCAACTCTAGGAGGTCAAGATTTGACTCTCAAATTCCAAAGAGTTGAGAAAGTTTTGGGTATAGGGCATAGTTAACTCTCTATTTGAAGAATTGACTTTGGTGCTAAAGATTCGACTCTCACTTCTAAGATGCGGCTCTTAATCTGAAGGAAAGAGAAGTTGGCTAAGTCCCAGAATTTCTTGAATAATTGACTTTCAATTTAAAAAGTCAAATCTAGGTTTTGCATATTCGACTCTTGACTGGACAATAATGACTAGTTTTTCAAATCTAACGCATCTGCAAAGCATTTAATGCATCCAAACAATCCCAAATGGCTAATTTTGACTAGAGGATGATAAATAGGGTTGGCGGGAGTATTGAATAGCTTCATAGACACATTATTGAAGAATCTCAACAACCCACTTGAGCAAAAACTTGCAAATTACAAATTTCTTATACTTTCCGTTATATACTTGATCATTGAGTGATCTTCTTACAATCTTCATCTTATTTTTTGTGAATATCATCTCGGAGGTATGAATAATTCCTTTAAGAGTGGTTTGTGGTAAGGATTATTGGGTTCTTCTTGTAAAGTGTAAAGGAAATTCTTGGTGAGTGAAGCCGAGGTAGAGTATTTGGTGCCAAATGGTTGGACCAAACCTCTATAAAATCTTTGTGCAAGCCTCTCTTCTCTACTTTCTTTGATTTTTGCTTTGTGGTTGCAAAAAAGGGAAGAAATTTTTGAAACTCTAATTCACCCCCTCTTGGAGTGCATCAGGCTAACAATTGGTATCAGAGCAAAGGCTCTAACATGATGCTTCAACCACCTGGGAGCTGATTGGGGATGGCTCAATTTCAAGCTATTACACCACTTAAAGGTTTGTCTATCACTAAGCTTCCTTTCTTTGATGGTTCTAACTATTGTTGGAAGAATAGGATGAAGGTCTTCATGCTTGCTAATGAACCAAGGCATGATTTGTGACTATGAATGGCTTATATGTACCAATAAATGAGGTTGGGGAAATTGAGGAGCCAAAGATTGAAATTAAATGGGATGATGAAGACTTGGAGAAGATCAAGATTAACAACAAAGCAATCAACATGCTTCAATGTGCTCTCAATCCAATAGAATTTAATAGAACATCTAGATGTGATATGGTAAAGGAGATTTGGGACATGTTGGAGACAACACATGAAGGGACAAATTAATTGCAAGAGTTAATAATCAGTTGACTCATTCACATGTATAAGCTCTTTAAGATGAAGTTGGAAAAGAGCATTCAAGATATGTACACAAGATTCACTGATATAATCACTAATCTCAAAACTCTTAGAAAGTTATATCCTACTAAAGAAGTGGTGAGGAAGATCCTTGGAAGCTTGCCTAAGAGTTAAGAAGCCAAGAAGAGCACAATTGAAGAGGCTAAAATCTCAAGACTCTCTAGCTTGATGCACTTATTGGATCCTTGATGATACATGAGATTGATATCTAAATGATGATGAAGTTTAGGTGATTGAAAAGAAGAACGTTGCATTCAAGGCTAGCAAACAACAAGAAGAAAGTGAAGATGATGCTATTGATGATGAAGACATCTTCGCCTTGTTCTCTAGAGAAGTAAGAATATTCATGAACAAAAAAGAACCTGTAATATCCGAAAATTTTTGAAATTTTAGATATATATATATATATATGAATACACTAGTACAAGTGAATATAAATTTAAGTTAGGGGCTTGTGGTAGAAATTATTATTTCTAAGCCTAATGACTAAAATTCACAAACCTAAAAGGGTTAAAAGAAAAATCTGGTGATAAAAGGGGCTAAGGCTAATTTTCCTTTTTCTCTCCTTGCCCTTTTGTGTTTCCTTGTAACCCCATCACCAGAAAATTTCTTTACAAGCCCTAGCCTATGCCCAACTCTATCTTGCCAAAAATGAGGTGAGATTTAGTTATTCTTCTTCCTCCCAAGTTTGATTTAGAGATTTATGAGCTT